CGGGGCAGTCTCAGGGTCTTGGGCATGAGTCAGCACCTTGGACACTGGCTGATGATGTGGGCTGAGGACTAGCTTTAAGAGTCCACCTGGGCCTGCTGGTGGGGAGTGGCCTGGGCCTGGGGGCATGGAGGGAGGGGGAGCAGTGTTTGTGCTGGGACTTGCTTCCTGGTTTCCCTCCTCCTGCACACAGTGGGCATCAGGGGCAGGAGCATCAAGGGCAGGGTAGGTCTGAGGGTGCTGATGGCCTCAAGTCCTGTCCTTCCGCCTCTGCGGGTCCCTCTGATGCCCTAAGACACAAGCACTCCTGCCCCAGCCTGCAGCTGGCTGCTTCTCATGTGCACTTTCCCCTCTTTTAGACTCTACCTTCTCCCATGGTGACTTTGGCACCTTCCCAGGCCTGAGAAGAATAGGACCCCCAGCTATGAGTCAGGCTCTCTGTCCCCATCCCGCCCTTGTCCTTCCTCTCAGCCTGGCCCTGGCACCTTGGCTCAACCCTCGTCAGCTGAGAACACCCAGGGCCTCAGGTAAAGTGTGTGGAGCAGGTCCTAAGGCCTGCTGTTGTAGAAGACCACTGAGGAAAAGGACTTTTTCCACATATCCAACCTGGATATCTGTAGGATTCTGCAATGGGTTCAGGAGCCAAGGACCCAACTAACAGTGGAGCTTCTCTTTCCGCGTGTCTTCCGACACTCCTCGCGCACCCTCAGAGCCGGCTGGGTGCAGCTCAGGCTCTCACCGCCAGACCTCGCCCGGCCTCCTCTCCCTTCTTCTAGATCCCTTCTTCTAGAGCATAAATGTCAGTCAGAAAACATCATCCTGTTCTCAGAACTCCCTTCTAGCCTTAAAATAAGAAACAGACTCTTGACTTTGGGATTCCAGGCTCTGTGAGATTGTCCCCTGCCGGCCTCTCTGTCTCACCTCCTGCCATCCCCTCTCGCCCCATCCTTCCTCTGATCCCAGGACCTTGGCCACCAGCCTTCCCCCTGTTCTTCTGCTTAGCTGCCACTCCTCATATCAGGGCTCTGGCCTGTGAGCTCCGTGTCTTAGGGCCTAGGATGATGTGTGGCTCAGAACAGGGACTAGGAACATTGACCCCCAGGTGTGGACCCATTTGCTCAAGCAGTGTCCCATGCCAAAGGGGCAGTGGTGACAGCAGGACAAATCGATGGCATTGAGGGAGACTCAGCATGCCTAGGGCCCCATGCCTCTCCAAAAGGAGGTGACTAAGGGCTCTCTGGCAGAAATGAATAGGAATGAGGGGCTGGGGAGGAGACGGAGGAAGGGCAAGTGGGGCAGTGGGCACCTAGTGGACGGCTGGGGCTGAGAGAAGACGAGAAGGTTCTTCAGAGGTGGGAGGGGCCGAGGCACCCTCCAGCTGGGAGCACGCTGTGGCTTGGTATGCCTCCCGATACCGTTCACCTTGCCAGCCGAGTCCCAACATGCAGCCTGGAGTCTGTGGTGCTCCAGGGAGTGAAGGCAGGGCTGGGACCTGGGGGGACACTTGAGTCCAGCCCAGGCAGGCTCAGAGGAGCTCAGAAATGTGAGTGCAGCCCCATCTGGAAACCTGAGCAGAGAAGGCAGCCAGTTCCCACCACACATCAGTGCACTTTGGGCTTGGTGACCAGAGCAGGCCTGGGCATATGGGGACATCCTGTTGTCTGACACCTGGGTTGAGGCATTCGTCCAGGGTCAGTGGTTAAATTCAAGCAATTTAATTGAAAAGTTAAGATCCCCTTACCGGTCATCTTAAAAAAAAAAAAAAAAAAATGTCCAAACCCATTGTTTTCTGCATTCTGATTTAGATTTATAATAGAAGCAAAAACCACAACAAAGACATAACCCACCACCAACGGTTGCTTCTGTGGGATGGGGCTCTTCCCGCCAGAGGGTTGAAGACAGCAGGCGCCACTACAGCAGGCATGGAGCAGGCAGGCTGGCCCCACGCCCCTCTAAGAGGCCAGGCCGGGCAGGCCCAGCGGGTAGCCGGCCTGGGAGCTCAGCCTGCCCACTGGGGCAATGACCCCTGGCTCCTGCCCTTTGCTGGGGTCTGTTCTGCTCTCCTGGGCGAGGGGCCCCATCGTACTGTGCTGGCATCCTNGCTTCCTGGTTTCCCTCCTCCTGCACACAGTGGGCATCAGGGGCAGGAGCATCAAGGGCAGGGTAGGTCTGAGGGTGCTGATGGCCTCAAGTCCTGTCCTTCCGCCTCTGCGGGTCCCTCTGATGCCCTAAGACACAAGCACTCCTGCCCCAGCCTGCAGCTGGCTGCTTCTCATGTGCACTTTCCCCTCTTTTAGACTCTACCTTCTCCCATGGTGACTTTGGCACCTTCCCAGGCCTGAGAAGAATAGGACCCCCAGCTATGAGTCAGGCTCTCTGTCCCCATCCCGCCCTTGTCCTTCCTCTCAGCCTGGCCCTGGCACCTTGGCTCAACCCTCGTCAGCTGAGAACACCCAGGGCCTCAGGTAAAGTGTGTGGAGCAGGTCCTAAGGCCTGCTGTTGTAGAAGACCACTGAGGAAAAGGACTTTTTCCACATATCCAACCTGGATATCTGTAGGATTCTGCAATGGGTTCAGGAGCCAAGGACCCAACTAACAGTGGAGCTTCTCTTTCCGCGTGTCTTCCGACACTCCTCGCGCACCCTCAGAGCCGGCTGGGTGCAGCTCAGGCTCTCACCGCCAGACCTCGCCCGGCCTCCTCTCCCTTCTTCTAGATCCCTTCTTCTAGAGCATAAATGTCAGTCAGAAAACATCATCCTGTTCTCAGAACTCCCTTCTAGCCTTAAAATAAGAAACAGACTCTTGACTTTGGGATTCCAGGCTCTGTGAGATTGTCCCCTGCCGGCCTCTCTGTCTCACCTCCTGCCATCCCCTCTCGCCCCATCCTTCCTCTGATCCCAGGACCTTGGCCACCAGCCTTCCCCCCTGTTCTTCTGCTTAGCTGCCACTCCTCATATCAGGGCTCTGGCCTGTGAGCTCCGTGTCTTAGGGCCTAGGATGATGTGTGGCTCAGAACAGGGACTAGGAACATTGACCCCCAGGTGTGGACCCATTTGCTCAAGCAGTGTCCCATGCCAAAGGGGCAGTGGTGACAGCAGGACAAATCGATGGCATTGAGGGAGACTCAGCATGCCTAGGGCCCCATGCCTCTCCAAAAGGAGGTGACTAAGGGCTCTCTGGCAGAAATGAATAGGAATGAGGGGCTGGGGAGGAGACGGAGGAAGGGCAAGTGGGGCAGTGGGCACCTAGTGGACGGCTGGGGCTGAGAGAAGACGAGAAGGTTCTTCAGAGGTGGGAGGGGCCGAGGCACCCTCCAGCTGGGAGCACGCTGTGGCTTGGTATGCCTCCCGATACCGTTCACCTTGCCAGCCGAGTCCCAACATGCAGCCTGGAGTCTGTGGTGCTCCAGGGAGTGAAGGCAGGGCTGGGACCTGGGGGGACACTTGAGTCCAGCCCAGGCAGGCTCAGAGGAGCTCAGAAATGTGAGTGCAGCCCCATCTGGAAACCTGAGCAGAGAAGGCAGCCAGTTCCCACCACACATCAGTGCACTTTGGGCTTGGTGACCAGAGCAGGCCTGGGCATATGGGGACATCCTGTTGTCTGACACCTGGGTTGAGGCATTCGTCCAGGGTCAGTGGTTAAATTCAAGCAATTTAATTGAAAAGTTAAAATGTCCAAACCAGTTCCCACCACACATCAGTGCACTTTGGGCTTGGTGACCAGAGCAGGCCTGGGCATATGGGGACATCCTGTTGTCTGACACCTGGGTTGAGGCATTCGTCCAGGGTCAGTGGTTAAATTCAAGCAATTTAATTGAAAAGTTAAGATCCCCTTACCGGTCATCTTAAAAAAAAAAAAAAAAAAATGTCCAAACCCATTGTTTTCTGCATTCTGATTTAGATTTATAATAGAAGCAAAAACCACAACAAAGACATAACCCACCACCAACGGTTGCTTCTGTGGGATGGGGCTCTTCCCGCCAGAGAGTTGAAGACAGCAGGCGCCACTACAGCAGGCATGGAGCAGGCAGGCTGGCCCCACGCCCAGAGGAGTGGGAAGAGGCCAGGCTGGGCAGGTCCAGCGGGTAGCCGGCCTGGGAGCTCAGCCTGCCCACTGGGGCAATGACCCCTGGCTCCTGCCCTTTGCTGGGGTCTGTTCTGCTCTCCTGGGCGAGGGGCCCCATCGTACTGTGCTGGCATCCTTGCCTGGCCCATGCATGCCTGGGTCCAGCTGCAGCCAGCTCCAGCTGGCAGGGCTGCCGCCGCCCAGTAGTCACCGCTGACTTTGCCTCCCGAGCCCCTTTGCTGTTGGGTCAGCCCGTCCCGGAAAGCCTGCAGAGGCCACGTCCAGATGGCCAGTGTCATGCCCACTCTGCTGCCACCACTGTAACAGCCACTCAGTTGTGACGGGCAGCCTCACGAACGCTGCGGGCAGGGCCCTAGAGGGCCGAGCCGCTCGCTAAGCCCTGCACAGCCCTGGCGGGAGCTCAGCGACCGTGGCGGCCACTGCAGCTGGGTCCCAGCGCAGCCTCCCTGACCTCAGAGTGCAGACGAGCACTAAGCCAGCGGGGTGGCCTCGGGCGCGTCCTCCACCCCTCAGGCCTGATTCACTGTGTGCACATGGGGGTGGTCGCAGGCATCTGCGCAGGGGCGGCCAGCTCGGAGTGAGACGTGGGGAGCTGGCGGTCCTCAGGCTCACGGACCACCGGTGCTCAAGGCTTGGGGCAGCTTGTAGCTCTGGCAGGCGGGGACAAAGTGCCCTTTTGCTTTACAGATAAGGGAGGCATTAGGGGGACGCGTGTGTACCAAGCTCGGGAAGCCAGGCTGGGCGAGCGCCCGATGCCGGCGTCCTGCTGCCTCCCCGGCGCCCTCTGCTGGTGACCCGGGGGACTCCACAGCCGACCTGGGGGCAGCCCGGGATCCTGGCTCTGTGGCCCACTGGAGGGAAACCACGCCCCTGTGCCGGCGAGGAATGTTAAAATCGAGATTTTAACTCAGAAGCCATTCATAGTAACTCAAAGACTGGCATCAAATTTATTATTATCTTTTGTTAAATATTTTGGATCTTTTCCGAGAACACTGTCTACAAGGGCGTAGTAGGTTTTCTTCCCCAGTACATTTTTGTGTGTGCACTTATGTGACATGTGGAGAGGTGACACAAACAGGTGGTACGTACATGGGGAGGGGCTCAGGACCTCTGTACCCGAATCGCATGCTTCGGTCCTCAGAGAGAATAGCCTCTGACTTTCACTGGGTAAGCCTCGGATGCAAGTCCCCACAGTCAGGTGATGTGCAGAGGAAGGTGGAAGGAGGTCCACAGGGGACGACGAGGATTACAGTCATACATGCATTCAACTTATCATAAAGTAACAATACACTCTGGGGGAGGGTCTGCCGAGCAAGCCCCTGCTCGCCGCATGGCCGCCTGTCCTGCAAGCGTCTTAGTGGGAGGGGCTGGGGTGGGGGTCGGTCTCCAGAGTACTAGCTAGAACGAGGGTCTTTCTCCTGATAGAGTGGGGGGTGTTGGGACGTGTGAGCTGAGATGGGGCCGTCGGCAGCATGGCTCCAGGCCTTCAGGGGTCTCTTGGCTTCTCCCCTGTGATGGCAGAGGCTTGCCCAGCCAGCATGGTGACACCAGGCACAGGCAAGGGAAGGCAGAAGGCAGGGTCCTCCCAGGGCCACAGGAACATCCACTGGTTGCTGAGTGGCACAGGGAAATGCTGGGTGGGTCCTCTGGGCCAGTCCCAAAGCCTTCCTCCGTGGAACCCATGGTGTTCGTCTCTCACAAGGACCTTCACGGCTTGGGAGGCCCACCGGGTGACAGATCCAGGCCCCGAAGGGAAGAACCAGATTGGGCAGCTCTAGACCACCATCAGTTGGTTTTCCAGATGCTGGGCCAGGCGGATGGGACTGGGGGCCTTTGAGAGAGAGATGTGGTGACTGCAGTATCTGCTGTGACAACCCTGACTTGGGGTCAGAAGCCAGAATCATTTAAATTCAGTAAGACTGTCCCAGGGCTTCCTTCAGATGGAAGTTTTGAAAAGTGAACTCTTCACAGCAGCTAAAACAGTCTCTGAAGTAATGAAAAAAAAATGTTGAATCGTTCTCAACATTCAAGGTCGGGTGCTGCTTTCCTCTGTCACTGGTTCATCATGAGCAGACGGCTGCCCCACGAGATAGTGAGCTGTTCAGCTGGGATCAGGAGAGGACTCCCCAAATTCTTCATCCATGGCTTTGAGATGGACACATGGCACCCTCTCTTCAGCCTTTGAGAGGAAGGTGAAGAAAGCCATTCCCCACTGAAGGCAGGGCTGTGTGTGGACGGGACGTGTTTTGGACAGGGCCTGGCAGGCTGTGGCTCGAGCCTAACTCTACCTCAATCCCTGTGTGACTCTCAGATCCACGTATACCTCATCAGAAAATGGGGATCATGCCACCCAACCGCTGTGATGAAAAGAGGCAATCAAAGAGTCATTCTCCACAGGAGTGCCTAGCCCAGGGGACAGCACCTGTGATGCTGAGCTAAATGGCATCTGAATCTGAGGGGGAGAAGGGGCCAGGGTGGCTGAAGGGTGGCTTGGACAGACATGATGACAGACTTCAGAGGAGCCCTTGAGCTTGGAGTTTTGCTCTTCCTAGCTAGGGAGGCTATAGAGGAGGAAGAGGAAATTCCTATTGGGTCCGAGCTAAACAAGATGAGTTCCCAACCTGGGCCTCCAGCCCTCGGCTTGCCCGCCCAATATGCCCCCGCCTCCGCCACCCCACAACTGTTGGAGCCCAGGGTCAGTAAGGGCAGGGGCCTTCGAAGCTACTGTCTGTGACGAAGGGCACACGAGCAGTCGGGGAGCAGCGGCCTTCCTCGCATGGCTGCGACAGATCCCCGTACTCGCTGTTATAAAACACCTGGCCTCCTTGCGCTCCCCGGTCAGGCCGCTGTTGCCTCCCGTGGGGATCTGGGTGTGCCCTGGTCGCATCCACATTCCGGCCAGGTCCTTTATAGCTGCCAAGACAGGGAAGGTGGTGTTAGTAAGAAAAGGAGAGAGAGGGAACTGGACCCAGGTCAGGGCCTGATTGGGATCACCAAAGGCATAACTGGAGCACTAAGCAAGCTCAAAGACTATGGGAAGCACACACAGGTTGGACTTTAATAGCAAACCAGATCAACATGATCTGGCAAACACTCACCGGAAACTTCTATGTCCCACGCCTGGACAGGAGACCACAGAAAACGCCGACTCCACCCCCTACACCTGCTTCCCTCCCCGCCTCGCCCATCTTGGTAAATGGCACCAGTGCTCACTCAGTCGCTCAAGCCACGCACCTGGTGTGGTCCTTGTTTCCTCCCTTTTTCTCATCCCTCACTTCTAATCCGTCCAGAAGTTCTGTCCATTCTACCTTCAAATGCACCCACGGCCATCTCTCCACCCCGTCCCGACTTTAGAGCAAGCTGCCGTCGCCGCGGCTCTGCGATTTCCTCCTGGCAGAGCCCTGTGCTTCCACCCTCGCCCCCTGTGGTCCAATCTTCAGAGAGATTCTTTAAGTCAGATGTGTCCTCCTCCCGACAGAACCTCAATGGCTTCCCAGTGCTCTTAGAATGAAATCCAAGCTTCTCACCGTGGCCCAGGAGGCCCCGCGGTTCCAGCCCCTGCCTGCCTCTCTGACCTCGCATCCTGCTTCTATTCTTAGCTCTCATTTTCTTTGAGTTTTTTGAAAATGATCATTGACTGTCGTTTTGCTTTGCATGGTGTTACTGAAAAGCCTGATGTCAGTCTCTTTTTTTGTCCTCTGTAAATGACTTGACCTTTTTGTCTGAAGTCCCAGAATGTTTATCTTTTCTTTTTTGGTGGCTGGCCAGCATGGGGATCCGAACCCTTGACTTTGGTGTTATAACCCCATGCTCTAACCAACTGAGCTAACTGGCCAGAGCCCAGAATGTTTATCTTTAAAGTCAAATAATTCTACGAGATTATGTCTCAGAGTTTACAGTTCTGGGCCAATTTCCCCATATAGACTCAGGTCTTCTTTTATTTATTTAAGAAAGTGATCTTGAGTTATAAAGTAAAAATATTAGTTTTATTCCACTGCTTGCATTTCCTTACTCCGGAAGTCCATTTTTACATGTACTGTATCTTTTCTACTTATCTTCTCTGTCACTTTTAGATCTTGTTTACCTCTTCATTTATTTCAGTTTTATTTTCTTGACTCTTTTCATGTCTGTCCTCTATGTTATCCCCTGTAAGTCTGGTCATGTATATTGTCCCTTGGTTCTCTGGTTCTCATTTTTGAGAGAATTTATCTTTTACTTCACTTTCTTTCCTGAGTTTAATCAACTCTCTTTTTACATCTTCACATCGTTTGCCCATTTCGATTCTAAATTTTTGAATTTCCGATTAACGCTGCAAATGCTAGTTTCACTATCGTAAGGACAGTGAGCATAACTTACTCTATTTTGACACCCTTACCACTTGCTATGCCTTTTGTGTGAACCCGGCCCACAAACGTTATCCAGTAACTAGCAGTAAGGCAGTTAAAACAGTAGGTAGACACAGCTGGTCTGGTTACTTGCCTCACAAGACCACCCAAGACGGTCATCACTGTCATAGACATTTGGAGTTTGTGACGTTAGCTTGTTTCTTACCTAGCACTTGCTTCTGGGTTTTTCCCACTGCTCTGTGTGAACTGTCTACAGAAACGTGGGCTGGACCAGGAAGCGGGATGGAAAAACCTTGCATACGCCTCTGGGTCGCTGCCCACCAGATCCATCATCGTGCGCGTCACTTATCCTAATCAAATTCTTTGCTTTACCACATGGAATTGCCTATTTTGATTTTGGTCTCAAGATACCTTCTCAGTTTGGTGGGCATTTTGCCTTTAGTCCATCTTCAGACAATTATATATTTAATTCATGTTGGAGTGTTGTGTTGCAGTTTTCCTCTGTTTCATTTTTTAAAAAATTTCTACTGAAAAGTTTTTCTAGTTTTCTGTTTTATTCTTATAATAACTTAGTATGGATAGTGCTTAGTTTTTCTGTTCATGTTTATTTATGTGGGAATTTCCTACGCCAGAGATAGCAGGTTATCCTGTGGAAGGGGCTAGCTTTCTTTATCCAGAAGTGCTGTATCAGACCCACGTCTCTGGTAGAACCTTGAATTCCTTTGAGGCTTTTTTTTCTGTTCATGTTTATTTATGTGGGAATTTCCTACGCCAGAGATAGCAGGTTATCCTGTGGAAGGGGCTAGCTTTCCTTATCCAGAAGTGCTGTATCAGACCCACGTCTCTGGTAGAACCTTGAATTCCTTTGAGGCTTCCTTCTTTCCAAAGGCTCCATTCATGTCCCATATCATGCTGCCACCAGGGGCCAAATGGTCACCCACCCAGGGAGTGCTGGGCCCTCTCATGGCTGCTGCCTTGCGGCACAAGCCCAGAGTTTCCAGATCTCCTTTCTCCTGTAGACTTGGATGAAGTGCCAGGCTGCAGGACATGGGATCTGGCATCTGTAGTGGCCACTGAAAGGCCCAATGATGAAATCTGCTGGAAGTGAGGAAAAGTGATACCTCATGGGTGAGTCTGACCAAGGGCTAACAGGAGACAGGAAAGACCTAGGCAGGTAAATTCCCCCTTTCTTCTCCCCATAGACCCCACCAAGGCACATTCTGTCCTTGTACCTGTTCAGAGAATGTTCAAATGCCAAGTGAGTGCACCTGCCCAGTGATCCGCTGCATCTCTTCATGGCGCATCATGATGTAATTCCAAGAGAAACAGTGCCCTCTGCTGCCACTAGGGTGACGTGCAGTTTCTGTAATGAATGTCTTCCCGTGTGTCTGTCTTCTGAATTCTGGATATTCTCTGCTTCCACAGGACTGTTATCTTCTGGAACTTTCTCCACCAAGTGTCGGGGGTGCAGCACTCCCTTCCTGCTCCCTTCCCTTTCAGGAGCAGCGGCCTCCCACAACAGCTGCCCCTGGTGCCTCAGACTCGTGCCAGGAACTTTGCTCTCCTCCATTCTCTCCCAGTGTGGCCACCATCCAAAGGACCTTGTCACACACTCCTCTCACAGGACAGTCCCCATCTGACTCTCCTTCAGCTGTAGCTCAGGCTGGCTCTGTCGGTCCATCAGGACCGACTCATGTCCATCAGGACTCTCTCCTGGTTATGTCACAGGCATGGGCTGAGTGGCCTTATTTGATCTCTTTCAGGAACTGTGTTGTTTTTAGGAAGATGTGTGGAGATTTGAATTTAAATGATGATCACCTCTTGCTTACCCTTTGACTTAATTACTTGTTTTGAATGACAAAATGCTGTTTGGTAAAGAAACGTTAGCCAAAAACTATTTCTGTAAATGCAACTATCATAAGTTTTCCCAAACCAGGTTACTAACATATGTCAGCTGATAGAATTAATAATCAAAAAAGACAAAGATGCACAATTCAGATGCAGTAATTATTCCTGAGCATGACCCACAACTGTCCATTAGTAGTGCTGTAAACATGACCTTCGTAGGCTGGTGGAAAAAAATAACCAAGTGTTGGTTAAGTTATAGAGTTCATAAATATACCTAAAAGATGGATTAAAAATGACATCAATTATACTAATGCTATACAAATAAATACCTGCAGTTTAGGGTACAATATTCAGTGATAACATCATATATTGATTCAAAAACAGCACAGGAAGAAGTGAAGGATTTGCTCTGGTAAATGGTGTCAGACGACCCAAAAGGGGTTCTTGACAAAAACACTGACACCAAAGGTGTAAACGAATGATCTGGATAAAATGGTCTGAAGAAAGTGGGAAAGACCAATGTTTTATAAAATATTGTAGGTCCTTTCATTTAAACAGGTATGGGTAAGTAAACTAAAGAAGTGAATATTTTATTTATTTATTTATTTATTTTTTTGTCTTTTTCCGTGTCCGGCAACGGATCACAACCCTCAGTGTCGCGCCCGCACCGGACCGGGACCGGCAACGGGATCGCAACCCTCGGTGCTGCGCCCGCACCTTGCTCAGCCAGTGAGCGGGAACCGGTCTGTATGTGGGATCCGAACCCTCGGCGGGAGCGCCGCTGCGCTTCCCAAGCAGCGCACTATAGCAGTGCGCCACCGGGCCGGCCCAAGAAGTGAATATTTTAAATAGACATTTAACTCTTTTATCTATATTACTAAAAGTTTAAATATTCATCTTGGCCAAAATTTTTCTCCTGGCTCTCTGGTCGGGCACATGGAGATCACTTTCTATCCAGGTCACCCTCTGTACAGGCATACATGACTATTTCTCTGTTATCAAAATATGACACCAGGCAGCTCAGGTTACCTGGCTTCTGTGGCCATTAGGCTAAATGCTGGGGGTTCAGGGATGGGGGAGGGTGTGTATGTGCGCTGGGCATGGTGGATCACACACGGTTTCACAAAGATGCAGCGTCTGTCAAATGGAAGAGAGATGTCGGGACCAGTACTCAGTTGCTGCTGGGTCAGGATGGTGATGGGGGCAGGGGACTGGGTGGCCAAAGACTTTGAGTCTCAGAGCAGCTTGCCTTGAACACACAAAATGGTAATAGGAAACCATGAAAGGTTTCAGGTGGGAGTAACAAGGTACCTCTGGGCCCCAGCCTCCCTCAGTGGGCCCCTGCTGAAGCCCCCAAGGAGAGCAATGCTCACCCTTGCAGGGGAGGAGGCTCCAGAAGCCCTTACCTGAACCTGCCTTCTTGTCTATGCGTGCTCTCTATCTGCTCAAACTCCTCCGAGGCCAGCACCATCCCACTGTCTGTCTGGTTATCCTGTGTGGAGAGAACGAGCCATGGCTGTGGGCCACACCTGAGGCCCCTTGCAGGCAGCCACTCCCCTCCTCCCCCAACCAGGATGGGCCGGCATGAACCTGCGCCGCTGCTGACCTAACACCCATCCCGTGGAACTGAACCAGACACAGGGCATTGTTCCATCACCAGAGTGTGCAGGTGGGGGTCACATGTCCCCATCACAGGAGAATCTGAGGCCTGGGGGGCCGCGCCTGGTGCTCCAGGTGCAGGTAGGGCACAGGCGCCAGGAGAAGTGGACAGAGCATTCAAAGAGCTCTGGCAGCTCATAGTTTAAAACGATGATCATCATGGAGACACATCCTGGGGTGAGTAGGGCTTTGTTACCCTTCAGTTGTGGTGTGGCGCAGTTTCCATTTCAAATCACACGGGAGGGGGACTGCACTCTTTTCAGAGCTTGGGACCCCCAAGGTCTTCATCTGGCCCTGGAGACATGGGCCAGGGTCTGTGTGGTCTGGCTGAGGGCTCCCCTGCCGCCGCCGCTGCCTGGACTCCCCGGGCCCAGGACCACCGCCCCCCATCTGGACCAGGGCTGGGACTGCAAGGCCTGGGCTTGACGCCTGGCTGTGTGCCACCAGAACTCAGGTCTGGGGGCTCAGTGTTCCCAAAGCTCCAGCCTCTTGGAGCTGTTTGTGCTCGACTATGCTTGACATGCCTCTGAGGACACAGGCATCACCACCTGAGTGGACACCTGTGGTTTCCCTGTGCCCCATCTCCCATCTTCCTCTTCTAGTGACACCATCCCCAAGTCTCAGGCCATGTGGCTTGGAGGTGCTGACCACCACCAAAGACGGGGTCTGTGACTCAGGAGGATCCAACACGGTCCACCCGGAGGAGGAGCTGTCTTTCCATTGGGGTTTCTATGCTGCTGGGGAGGGAGGCCATGTGTGACAGTGATGAGGACACAGGGGAAAGAGAAGAGCTGAGAAGTGGTGACATCACTTGGAGGCCCAGACACAAACATGCCTGAGGCTCTGGACCTGACATTTTCAAGGGACAATCTTTTCTGTTTAAAAACATCTAAGTTGGTTTCTGCCACTTGCCCCAAGAGTTCCTGAGACCTGTCTCCCCCTGAGGTTACTTTGGCCCTGATCTGAGGCACACAGCATCCCCCCTGCCTTCACCTACCACAGAGGCTTTGTAGGTCGTCGGGGTCATGGGGAATTCTTCAAATGTCTTCATCCTGGAGGAACCCAGGGTCTGAGTCCCTCTTGCCAGGCACCCGGGAAAGGACACACAGTTGTAATATCTGTGGGGAGAAGACAGAAACTGCTGAAGAAACGCATCCCAGCAACCCTCCTGAAGGCTCTCTCCACCTCTCCTTCCACCCTCTTTCCTCCCCAGAAGGTCCCCAAGCCTGGGGCATGAGTATGGATGGGGCCTGGGTCCAGGCTTCTCCCTGGGCCCCACCTCAGATGTCCAGCATGCAGACCCAGCCAAGCAGCCCTGGGCACGTCCCTCCCCCACCTGAGCTGTTCCCATCTCCTATACAAGAGGGGTAAAACCTCCCAGGTCCACTGCTGGACCCAGTCCAGGTGTGGCATGGAACTGGTGAGTGTAGGGGGCAGCTTTCTCCCCAGGATGAGCCACCCTATGCAAGGCAGGCAGTACTGCTGCTGCAAGCCACTGACTGGCCTACCTGTGGTGTGCATGTGTTATGTGTGTGTATGCGTGTGTGTGTGTTGGGGGGCAAGGGTCAGTGGAAGGAGCCTGGCAAGAACCAGCTTACTGTTCTTATCCCCCAAGCCCGGCCCTGCCCTATGCTGGGGCAGATGGGGCAGGACTCTCAAAGCCTGGACCATCTCAGCAATGCTGGTGGAAATGTGGACAGTACAACCTCCCTGGGGTGCAAACTGCCATGGATAAGAGACCTCTGATACAGGATTTTGGGGACTTGGGCTAAGTTCTGACTCCTGAATATGAGTTAGTCAGTGGCCTCCCCTGCTCCCAGGGTCCCTGCCAGTGGCCCCTGGAACTTACCCCCAGACTAGTAAATGATTAGACCCTGGGAGGATTCTTGGCCCAAACCCAGCCCACTGCACTTTCTCTTCCTTTAAGAAAATGTGCCCAAGACAGATGCTCCATCAAAACTGCAGTGAGGGGCTCCTGGGGGCCAGGAGTGCAGGGAAGAGGAGGACACCGGCAAGCAAAGAAAAGGACTGAGAAGGCACAGAGAAAAGCACAGCCACCAGACCACATGCCTTGGAGGGGCCCCCATGGCTGACCAGGCCCACCAGGGCATCACCAACCCCAGTGCTGCCATTTAAAACCACTCTGCTCCGGGGCCCGGCCCGTGGCTCACTTGGGAGAGCGTGGTGCTGACAAACCCAGGTCTCCAATACTGTGCTTGTCCTTATCACCACAAATGACCACCTCCATTATGTCATCCAGAGATCTAAAAACCTGTTAATCTGCCCAATTAAATTTAAAGTGGCATACTGAGCCTGCCAGACAAATGGCATCCCTTTAGAAAGAAAAAATAATAATAAAATAAAGTAAAATCACTCTGCTCTTTCAGTTAGTGTACAACAGCCTCTCAAGTCACTGTACCTTGCTTTTCCTGTATAATTCATGAGGATAAAATATACCCAGTCCAAACTGACCCCCCATTCTTGTACCCAGGAGGGCGGCTGACCTGGCAGCCAGGCTGTGGCGCTGCAAGCTTGGTGGGCTGCCCTCGGCGTTGGTCTCGGCAACGTGCAGCGCCGTGGTGGACGCCTGCAAAAAGCTGCCCTCATCTGAGCTCTGAGAGCTACACGGGGCCATGCAGTCCTCTTCCTCCTCCTGGCAGGAATGAAGGAGGTGCCAGGGTCAGAGACTACACTGTGTTTTCTCCCTCTGCCCCATCCCTGCTCTCAGGACTGCTCGGGTGCCTGAGTCCTGAAAGGGGGTCACACAAGCAAGCGGGCAAGTGTTCTGAGGATTCAATGAGTTTGTGCCCGGCACACTTCAGCTCTTGGGGCAGGAGAGGTGTCAAAGTGGTTGTAATGCCATGCCAGCCTTGTTGTAATCTCCCAACAGATGAGGCAGGTGGCGTGGGCCAGTGCCCTCACTCCAGGCCCCTGGCTGCTCCTGCAGCCTCGGAACCAGTGTGAGCATTTCCCACCTTCTTCTTGAGGCAGAATCAGACCCAAAGCGCCTGTCCCAGCCCCTAAGGCTCAGGCAACAGGCCGCTCCCCCATCACTCCTCTGGGTCCCTGAGCATGATGTGCCTGCCCTGAGCTAAGTCCTGAACTGGCTCTGTTCCCCACCCCCCGGCAGCATGGGGAGGGAGAGATGCCAGGACACACAAGCCAGTGCCTGTGTGCTTGCTGGGTGCAAGGGGCAGAGTGGGCATGAGGCGAAGGAATGCATCACTGCTATGCTGGGAGATGGAGCTGCCTTGCAGGCCCAGTGAGGACAAGCCTGGGGCTCCCCATGGTCAGGGACAGGCTCAGACCATCATCATGGAGGCTGAAGCAGGCAACAATGGATGTATACGCAATAGAAGGATGCCTGTGTGTCCACCTCGAGTGGCCAGGGTGTGGAGACAGGGATGTGGGCAGCGGGCACGGGAGGGCAGGCCTAGGAGCAGGCACAACCCTTGCCTAGTAGCTGAGAAGTGGGCAGAGCTTAGAGGGGCAGCCAGGGCAGAGACCCAGGGCAGGGACCCAGGCCAGGGACCAGATGGTGCAGCAGGACAGGGCAGAGAGAGCGCTCACCTGCTGGTCCCTTCCCTGGAGCAGGTCCCCCAAGATCTCCACCAGCTCCGAGAATGCAGGCCTCGCTTTGGGGTCTCCAGACCAGCAGCTCAGCATGATACGGCGTCTGTGGCATAAAGCAGGCTGCTGGACTGTGGCCTGAGTGTGCCCCTCCTCCACCAGCCCTTCCCCTACCCTTCTCCAGCTGCCTCTCACTTTCCCTGAACAGCATGACTCTGGCTCGTGTGGGTGTTCTCAGAGTGCCCAGGCCAGCTCTGCTCTTGCCCATCACGGTTATGGTTATATGACCGTCTGTGTGTGTACCCAGGAGGGCAGAGGCCAGGCCTGTTCTATGGGCTCTGGCCTCCCTGGGGTCAGCACACAGCAGGAGTGGAGTGTGCCCCTGCTTGTGCCTACATGCCCCATTCCTGTGGCAACATGCCCCTCTCCATGTGTCACCTCCTGCCCCCAGCACCTGCATGGCCAGCATGGAGACTCACATGGCAGGAGTGGCCAGCTCTGGGGCCCTCATCCGGGTGCCGTCCTTCAGCCGCTGGCAGAACTCTTCGTTGATCTGCACCCCAGGGTACGGGGAGGCCCCTGACAGTGGGAATGTCGGGGGTGGGTGGGGAGCAGACCGCTCGCAGCTCAGATCAGCCCCCAAAATCACCCATCCTGTCCCCTCCCCCAGCTCTTCCTCCCCTGCTGCCGTCCATCGGGGGGGCCTGGGCAAGTTGCTGGCCCGCTCCAGCTCTAATTCTTCAACTGTTGAAAGCGGATGATGCCACCTGTTTGCTAGGGGTGCCATGAGCCGCAATGAATTTAAGATACATTAGCGAAAACATAGTTCCTGAGATCACCAGAGGCGGGGGGAGCTGTGTGGAGCGTTTCAACAGAGCCTCTCCTACCTCTCACTGCGCCTCCTGACACCCCGCCCTGCCTGTACCCTGACCACCTCCAACACACAGGGAAGGCTGTGTGGCTGCCGCCCCACCTGGAACCGCTGTCCTCCCAGGCCCACCTGCCTCAGCCCCAACCTTCACACAGCTGGGGCCCTTTCTGGGCACCTCTGTGGTGCACAGCAGCCCCATGCTTCCTATTCTCTTCCTGCACTTTTATTTTCAGTAATAGCATTGATCATCGTTGCCATTTGATGATATTTGAACTTTTTCACTTGTCCGTGGTCTCTCCCCACCCTAGCATGGGGACTTCACCGTGTTCAAAGTCGGACTTGCATAAGTAGGTGTGTTCGATGCATGAGGCCACGTCTCCTCCAGGCCTCTCCCCAGCCCCATGAAAGCAGAACCATCCCCAGTGGCAGGTGAGGCAGGGGCTCAGCTACAGAGGGGAAGACCTGGAGGCACGCAGGTGGCCTCTTCCTCCGGGACTTGTGGTGAGCTGAGGGCTGCCGCCCTCCAGAGGTGGTGCCAGCATTGCCGACATTGGAGGCAAAGTCCTCCCCAAGACTGGGCCATGCCCAGGAGAGGTGTGGGACTCCTGAGAGCCCACAGTCACCTGTCTCAGCATGACTTAGGGCACACCTCTGGGCCCCCCAACCCCTTTCACTGGAGGGGCTGGCAGTGCAACCTGGAGCCTGGTAATTCCTCCCCGCCCCCCAGCCAGGCACCCACCCTGCACTCACCCAGAGAGAAGATCTCCCAGAGCAGCACCCCAAAGGACCACACGTCACTCTGTGGGGTGTACACCTTGTCAAAGATGCTCTCAGGGGCCATCCACTTCAGGGGCAGCCGGGCCTGGGGGAGGCGGAGGGGAGAATCCCATAGAGGGAGGGAAGAGAGGGCTGAGGCCAGACACCAGCGGGTCCTTTCTGCCTAGACAGAAGGCTTCTTCCTGCTGCCATTCTCCTGGGTCTGTGGGGGCCCCTTTCTTCCCCTGAGCTCTCTTGGGGAGTGCTTGCATGCCCTCCTCCAGCTCCAGACCCTGGGCCCAGCCTCCCGAGGAAACCCATCCCTGCACACGCTCACCATCTCCCTGGACTCACCTGCTCCATCCACCCACTTTGTCCCACACTAGAAGCCAGGCCGTCCCTGAGAACCCTCCCCTTGCCCATCGTCTGTCTCTCTCCCTCTCGTGGCCTCTCCTGGGGAGCCCTATCCCACCACAGCCCAGACCCATCCTGCTTGATTCCCTCCCTCCAGCCCTCTTCTCTCCTCTCCCCGGGGCAAGCCCCTCATCAGCTATGGATGCTCATTTGGGCACCACGCATGCCCGAACACAGATGCACTTTTCCGTGATGTCTCCTACATCAGGCCGGCCCGTTTCCATGACAGACACCATGTGGATGCCTCTACACACCCAGGCCCCCCTGGGCAGGTGTCGGGTGTCAGTGCCCACCACAAGGGCCAAGGCACCGGGCAAAACACAAGCTCCCGTTGGGGCCCTGCTTGTCAGCTTCTGTCTCTCAACTCCCTTGTCCCAGGTTGCCTCAGTGGGTGGAGTTAGTAAGGCCCTCAGACCTTGGTGGGGTCTAGGGGGCAGTGAGTCCCCTGGCAGCTGGTGGCCTGACATGCCGAGAAGTCCATGTCACCCTGTGCCAGCACCTCTCCCCCCACTCCTGGACAGGAGCTCCACGGCCCCCACCATTACCTGGCCCCCAGCTCCCCTCCTCTCAGTAGCCTGCACTCACACTGCCTTTGCGGACATAGTCAGGGTCTTTGTAGATGTCCCGGGCAAGGCCAAAGTCACAGATCTTTACCACGTCGCTTTCTGACAGCAAGATATTCCGGGCAGCCAGGTCTCTGTGGATGCACTAGGGGTGCAGGGAGGTGGGGGGGGGGTCGTCAGTGTAGGCCTCTGGGGTGACACCCATGCCTGGAGCTCCAGGGTGCCCCAGGACTCATCACAAAGAGCTCATGGAATTGTGGGAAAAGCAGAGAAAGCTTTAGAATCAGACAGACTCTGATTCCACATCCAGTTCTGCCACTGATGAGCCAAGACACATTGGGAAGTCCTTTCCATGCTTTGGGCTCAGTTTCTTCCTCTGCAGAATGGGAGAGATGCTAACTGACCACAGGGCCATTGTGGGTTGAAATTAGGACTGGGCACACCTTAGTACACTGGTGGGTTTATGCCCATCTTCCTCTGAAGGGACTGCCAGGGGTGAGCTCACCTTGCGGGAGGCCAGGAACTCCATCCCTCGGGCCACCTGGAAGCTGTAGCAGACAAGATCTTCCATGGTCAGCGGGCTCAGCCACAGGTCCTCGGCTGCACAAAGGAGTGAGGTGAGCTTAGCAGAAGGCTCCTCCCTGACTTCCATCTTCCACCCAGCCCCAAAGGGAGTTTTGTTTCACCAGCCTTGACTGCATCCCTCCTGGCCAGGGCCCTGAGGCCCCTGGCACTAGCTAACAAGCATGTCAGCCCTCTCCTGCCCCTCAGCCTCCACTCTCTCTGGGACACCCACTTACTACTTCCAGAACAGTAAATACCATTGCACCTCCACTTGGCCCTGGACTGCTCCCCCACCCTGTCTGCAAGGCAAATTCCTATTCATCCTGTGATGCCCAGGACTTAACCTGTGCCGCCCATCCCTTGATGCCTCAAACACCTCTGTGAAACCTGCCCCTGAGGTGTCTTTCCTTCCTAAGGCAGAGCCCATTACATGCTTTCCCATGGAATCCCCTCCACCAACGGTCCCAGGCCGGCTTATCCTAGGGTGCCTGACCATGAGCTATCACTGTGCCAGCCAGACACTGAGCAGGGGAAGCCAGGCTCTTACCTTCTTGGACTGGAGACGCCCGCCCCGCCCCACCCTTGCCCATCAGGAGCCGTGTGAGGAGGGCTCTGTCGTTGCTCCCTGGCCTTCTTCGATCAGCCTTGGCTCCCTCCACCATGGCGCAGAAGCGCCTTCGCTGTTCCAGAGACTTCTCCTGCAGATGCACAAAGCGGGTCTGAGGGAGGCCTGGTCACCCACTGCAGAGGCGCCTCCGACTCCTGCCCTCCACCCACCTTGGTGCTCCGTCGGTTCACCAGCAGACCTCCAAGCCCCTGGCTGGGGTGCCCACTTACCACATAGGGGCTGAAGGTCTCCCGCTTGGTGCGCAAGAAGTTGGAGAGATTTCCGTACTTGCAGAATTCCACTATCACCATGAGGGGGCCTGGGGCAGGGCAAGGCAGGAGCGAGGCACTTACCGACCAAGGGCGCGCCGGAGGGCCAGGTCTGCAGCAATGCCCCTGCCTGGCACCTGCCACTGCCCCCATCCCTCCTGCGCCCTGCCCCGCGCCCAGTCTCCGCACCGCCCTGATCCCATCCATTCCAAGTCGGGTAGGCTCCTCCCACCTGGAACACCAGTGCGACCCCCAAGGCTTGGCCCTTTCCCCATGGTGCCCCAGCTCGGTACCGTTGGGCTTGGTGCATGCCCCCAGAAGGTTGACCACGTTGAGGTGGTTACCGATGTGGATTAGGATCTTGAGCTCTGACATCAGGGCACGGTGCTCACTGGCTGTGGCACCCTCTGGAAGGGATACAGGGACCTCACGTGATGTCCGACCTGCCCTGGACACTGCCTGAATCCCTGCCTGTCTCTCCTCCTCCGCCACTGGTTTCACTAAGGCACAGCCAGCGGTCTTGTGGGTCAGGGGGGCAGTGGGTGGAGGGTCCCCTGCTCATTCCGCTGGCCCCCCTGAGGCAGAAGGTTCAAATGAGAGCCTGGCTCTGGCTCCCACAACCTCCCTGAAGAACCCTGGGGGAGACTGGCTCTAAGCCTGTTTCTTTTCCTGTACCACAGCCCCACTGTCCCACCCAGAGCTGCTGCTCCTCACCAGCTCAGCTGCCCCTTCCACCCACTGAGCCCCCACCTTTCAGCATTTTCACGGCCACAGTGTCACAGCTGCTGCCCTTGTTGATGCCAAAAGCTGACGCTTCCACCACCTTCCCAAAGGCTCCGTGGCCGAGGACTCTTCCTGTGGAGGCAGAGAGCCCGTTCCAAGTGAGCTGTATGGGGGTTAGGGTGGAGACGGGTGGGCAGCAGGGGTGACCTGTCCTAAGGCCCAGGAAGCCAGTCCTAGGAGCAAGAGGAACAGGGGGAGCCTCTCTGCCAAACAGGAAGAGCATGGGGAGCAGGAGCGGGAAGAGGGAAAGGAGCAGCAACAGGAAGACATCGCATCCTCTCCTGGCAGGTGTGATAGGCCCACCCTGCTCAGAGCAGCAGAAAGTGACACTGGGGGCCTGGGAACTGGTAGTCCTGGCCACAGTTCTGGGGACACCCGCCCACCCAGATGGGCAGGTCAGGCCAGGTGGGGGCCAGGCAGGCCTGCCTGGCATAAGTTCTGAGACTGGAGGGATTGCTGGCACTCCATTCTGCCCGACTCTGCAGCAGCTGAAGCTGCCTCTGCTAGGCAGGGGTGGTGGGTGGGGCAGGCTGGGTGCTGGCCTCACCGAGCTGCAGCCGTTCCCGGGGGAACTCCCACTGGCTGGCATCATAGGACAGGTATTCACACTGCTCCTCCAGAGGCACCTCCCCGGGGTCCATGATGATGGACAGGTAGCCCGTCTTGATGTCAGCGTGGGCCGGCTGGGGATGGGGGGGGGGGACAGCTCATTGATGTGGCCAACCACTGTGGCTTGGCAAAACTTTGTCCACATGGGCCGGCCCGTGGCTCACTTGGGAGAGTGTGGTGCTGACAACACCAAGTCATGGGTTAAGATCCCCTTACCAGTCATCTTTAAAAAAACTTTCTTCACGACAGATGGCATTTTCCTTGGGGTTCTCAGTCAAGAGGGGAGAGACTAATAGACAACCTCTGCCCGCATTATAACCCAGCCTAGAGGGATGGGCAAGTTTCCCAGGAGGGAAGGCTGCCAGGTGAACCAGGGTGGGGATCTTACTCTTTATTTTAAGGCCAGGGTGGGAACGGGGTGGGGGAGGACGCAAGAGAGACCCCATTAGGAGCTGAGGATTGGCTCAGCAGGGGAGGAGCCCTCACCCTTCTCATGTTACAGAAGAGGAGGAGGAGGAGGACCCAGAAGAAGACTGCGATGACCCCGGTGCCGACGAGGATGGCGATCTCCATGCTGCCTTTATTCTCTGAGCCTGAGTGGGCAGAAAGGAGCTAGTGTGTGTGTGCGGCGGGGGACGGGGTGGGTAGAGGGCGCACCCTGCGGGGAGCGCCCCTTCTGGTGGGCACGACTTGCGTAAGGTGGCCGTAGGAAGGCATCGCTTGGGGCCGGGAACTGGGTGGAGGGGGCGAGGCGGAGGCTGGACCTTCCACGGCCACGCTGGCGGAGGAGTTGACGCAGCCCTTGGCGTTGCACACGCGGCACAGGTAGCGGCCCGCGTCCTCCTGGCGCACGCGCTGGATGCTCAGCTTCTGGTTCGCGTCTGCCAAGTCAATTCCTGCAGGGGTGGGCAGGGGTTCTGAGTTCAGGTGGGTCTGGGGGCGTGGGCCTCTCGGGCCTCTGGATCTCGCGCTGCGCCCGGGACTGCCCTCCCTACCAGACTCTTCCTCCAGCCGCCTTTCGTCTTTGTACCACACGATGCTGGGCACGTGCGTCCCGGCCACTGGGCACCGCATCTCCAGAGAGTCGCTCACATTCACCAGGAGATCGGTCAAGTTCTGCGTGAGCCGAGGGGCTTCCAGGGCTGGGGGCGGGGGTCAAGAGGGAGGTAAACGGGGGTGCACCTCGGGGTGGGTCCCCCGGACGAGGAGCAGAGGGAGCAGGACTGCTGGGAGCTGAAGCAAGGTTCTGGGTTTGAGCGCGGGGTCGGCGGGCTGCACACCTCCGTGGTGGTGTTGGGGAGGGGGACGCTCATGCAGGCCCGGGCTTGTGCCTGGACCCCCCAGGCGCTTGCAAGGCTGGGAGTGACGGCGAAAGCAGTGGCCGCTGGACGGCAAGCGCGGCCCCGCCCTCCCCCGCAGTCCGACCCGCCTCACCTTGCACTGACAAGTACTTCTTGTGGCAGTGCTTGTCGTGGCTGCGCCGGTCCCGTACCTCACACACGTAGTCGCCCTCGTGCTCGGGCGCCACGCGGGGGATGCTCAGGCTGAGCGTGGCGTGGCGTGCCCCGGGCGCCGCCTCCACCAGGCTGGCAGCCAGCGGCGTGGCGAATCGGTGCACGTTCTTGCAGTCGAGCAGCAGGGGGTTCCCGTGTGCATCGTGCAGCGTAGACAGGTTGAGGCGATACCAGCGCAGATGCTCGTACGTGTAGTTGTCCGCTTTGCAGCTCAGGCGCACGGCCTGGCCTTCCAGGGGCTCTTCGGATGGCTCCGATTCGATGCTGAAGCCGAGGGGGATGGCTGGGGAGGGAGGGGGAATCCTGTGACACTGGCACTGGTGTCTGCCCACCTATCCCCCGTGCTGGCTACCCCATCGGCCTTTGAACTCACTTAGGTGTCAATCAAGAGTGTGCGTCACCGTACAGGGGCTGGGGACACCATCCCAGAGCCCTCTTCCTCCCCGTTTTTTCTGCCTCACTGACCGACGGGGCCAGCTCTCTGAAGTCAGCCTCGCAGGATCTCCTCCTGCCTTGCCTTCCTCTGTCCCTCCGTCCTGGACAAGCCCTAACTGGGTTCCCTCCTTCACCTCTCTCAGGAGTTCAGACCACTAACGAGTTCCTTGTCACTAGACTCGTGTGGACCTGAGTCCTCATTCCCTCTCACTGCTGACCACGCCCCCACCACTCTCTTGTCCTTGGAACAATTTCCTCATTCGCTTTTGCCAGCGCCGTGCTCCTGATCTCCTTGTCTCTCCAGACACTTCTTGGAAGGCTCTTGTGGGCTCCTTCTTCCCCCCTCCCAGGTGCTGTCTCTGGCTTCATCTCCCTGAAGGTGCCCTCACCTACACCCCTGGGCCCAGCGACTGCTCACTCCTGAGCTTCTTAACTTTCCTGAGGTCACAAACATATTTGAAAATCTGAGTAAAGTATGGACTTTCTCCCCAGGGCAAAATGCACACATGAGCGGCAGGGCTCTGGGGCACAGGAAGGGGCTGGGAGGGAGGCAGGGCTAGGTGGAGCTGCCAGGAGCATGGGGGAGAACCTGGGAAAGGTGCCTCCAGGGCAGAGGGTGCCATTCCATCCCATTGCATCAGCACCCAGTCCACGTGCGGATGACCCCCAATCTATCCCTCCCACCCTGGCCCAGGGGCCCAGAGGGCCCCGGATCTTTCTCTTGAGTACCCCATGGTCACCAGAAACTCAATGAGCCCAATCTTGCTTCCTGACCCTGCATGCAAGCCTGCCCTAGGGAAGTGGTCTGCCCTGGTTGGTGGTCTGGTCACTCACTGGTCACATAGAAGTAGATGAGCCGCTCATCCTGGCCCACCTTGTTGGAGACCACGCACTTGTACATGGCAGACACATTGGCATCCTGGATCACCAGCTTGCTCACCGTCTGTTTAGAGCATAGGCATGAGGGTCCATTCCCTGCCCGAGTTCTCCCAGCTTGAACCCTCCCTTTCTGTAGGGGGTAAATTGAGGCTTTGGGCTGGAGATGACCAAAGGTCAGAAACAGGACCAGCAATGGTGAGGCAGGGAAGAGGAGAGGCCCTTGGGTAGCAGAGGTGGCTCCCCAGAAAAGTCAAGGAACAGCGTATGGACGACTGGCCTAGGATGTGGCTGAGGTCAGAGGGTGGCATTTGGTAGGACCAGAGAGACCTCTAGCTGTGACTGGGCTTTCTGTAGCCATGTTAAGGAGGGGCCAGGAGCCAGCCTGGCAACTGGGTCAGTCCAAGCTAGAGTTAGGATTCAGGCTACGGTCACATCAAGGGGCCAGCTACTTCTGGAGTGGGGTCAGGCTGTGGCCCAACGCCAGTAGCTGGCCATTGTGTGAGATCCTGTGATGTGCCTGCATTGGCCCCAGGGCTGTCCACAACACCCCTCCCAGTGTCCAGGGTAGTCTCAGGGGAGGGGCTGGGTCCCAGGATTTCAGAAGAACTCTGGACTTTGGGAGTAGGAAGCTTGAGAAGCAGGGGTGGAGAGAGGGCCATAGGCCCTGCCTACCCTCTGAAGACCCCCACCCCCACCCCAAGCCGGGCACTTCCTGGCCAGGCCTGGAACAGGAAGAGGCTCTGGAGGTGTGTAGGAAAACAGGAAGTGACTGTAGGAAGTGGGTGCCTTTGTTCAGGCCCCCTCCCCCGCCTGGCCTACTTCTTGGCATTGCCCCCAGGCTGGTCCAGCGGCTCAGCAGCCTTCTGTGGAGACCTGGTCAGCTCCTAGACCCGTCCCCTCCCAGCCCTGGGGCCCATGGCCTTGGATTTCAGCTTCCACATCTTGGAAACAGCTGGAAGTGAGGCCCTCCATCTACATGCATCAAGGGACTGAGGCCCAGTGATGGCAGAAAGGTCATCTGGCTCTCAGCTGCTGTCCCCTAAGCTCTGCAGGCCTTGTGGAAACCTGGAAACTGGGAGAAGGCAGGAGAGGACCTCCCCACTTCCCTTCCTCTCCCTCCCCACTGAGGGGTACAGCTGGCCTGTACCTTATTCTTCCCCTCCACGAACTCGGTCCAGGTGTCCAGGCTTTCAATGGGGTTCACGGCATCCTGCATGGTCACCTCCCTCCAGTCCTGACACTGTGGCATGCGGTCTCGCTGCTGCCGCCGGCTGCCAGAGACCAGGAGGGTCAAGGGCAGATCATGGATATGGGCAGGGAGGGCCCACACTGGGGGGTAGGGGTCAAGCCTTTGTCATCCTCAGAATCATTTCACATCATGGTGGGTAAGGCTGGCACAGGAAAGCAAAGGGGATGGAGGCCTTGTTTCTGGAACATTCTTTATGCTCAGAGCTCCTGCAACCCATACTTCGCAGGCTGCCAGACACAGCCTTCCTATGCTCACACAGGCACCACTCTATCCCCCCACCATTCTGCTGTGTCCCTTCTTGCAAAGTCCGCTTTGGATCTGCCCACCCAGCTTGCCCAGGTCACCACTCTGCCCCAGGAAGCCCTCTCTGCCCTGCCTCCCTCTCTCTCTTCCCCTTTTAGGAGATGCAGCCTCCCTCTAGGCAGGGTGTGCACCCGCAGCACCTTTGGCCTCCCTCTGGGATGGGGGATCTCAGGGCCCAAAGAGAGGCTCTTGTCTGCCCCTAGCAGAGGAGTAGAAAGGGGCCCCCAGGGCTCCATCTGGAGGTGCTGGCAGTGAGCTGCAGGCCATGTGGTCTAGAAAACTCCCTTATGAGCCCTGGACATTTTGGACTGGTTCAAGCCCACAGGCCACCTGAGCCTTCCCCACTGACCATGCTGGGGCTGCAACCCCTTGGCCGGTGGGGCTGCCTTGGTCTCCTGCCTGGGTTCCCTGCTTCTGTCCCTCCCCAACCTATGACACAAGGATCTCTTGCTAAATGGCAAACCTGACCTGTCACTTCTCTCCTCAATGCCCTTCACTGGCTCCTTAGTGCCATCAAGATCCCTGCCCACCTCAGCACCGTCCTCTCCCGTCTTGTCTAGCTGTCGCTGTCCTGAGTGTTCTCTCAGCCTGTCTGTCTCGGTGACGTTCAGCTCAGTGTAGGGGGGCACAGCTCTGGGCAGGCTGTGTTGCTTACAGCTGTGACCTCGGGAACGTTGCCTCCCTTCTCTGACCCTTCTGCCTCATCTCTCAGGGGTGACCGTGAGTGCTGTGCAGATGAGCTGAGCTGTGCAAGCACCACCCAGGTCCGCCACCTCAGCGGGGGGTGCCCTGAGGCACCTCCTTTGGTCCCCTCCAGATGATACAATTAGGTGTCCGGGAGGCTTTGCATTCAAGGGGCGGAGGTGGGGGTCGGGTGGGAGG